TCCTTTCCTTTCCTTTCCTTTCCTTTCCTTTCCTTTCCTTTCCTTTCCTTTCATCCCTTCCTTCCTTCCTTCCTTCCTTCCTCCCACTCCCTCCCTTCTTTTCTCTCCTTCCTCCATTCTTTTCTCTCCTTCCTTCCTTCCCTGTTCTCCTTCCTCCCCTCTTCCTTCCTTTATTTTTTTATTTTATTTATTTATTTGATTTGTCAATCATTTACAAGATAATAGGGAAAAGTATAAACATGAGTAAGAATACAGGAAATAAGTACGATAAATGGGGACAATAGGACAGGGATGGTAGGCACGATGGTGCACTTATGCACGCCCTTTACAGACCTCTTAGGAATGGGGTGAGGTCAATAGTGGATAGTGGATTTAAATATATTATATTTAAATATTATATATTATATAATACACACACACAGAGAGACACAGACACACACACATATGTATAAATAATGTATTAAGGGTGTGAATTATTGTTCCCAAAGGCATCATTCTCAACATTAAGCAAAAATTAAGAGCAGGGAGACAAAACGACATGTATTAAGCACCAAGAAATGCAATTAATAAAAAAAATAATTAATTAAAAAAGGATTAAGCAAAAACCAAGGAGAGAGAAGCAGAAACTCCAAGTGACCAGAGGGAAGTTATAGAAAGTCATAAAAAGAATGAATACAGGCCGTCCTCGGCTTACGACCGCAATTGAGCCTCCCCCCCCACCAATTATGTTACTAAGTGAGGGCCATCATCAAGGGAGTTTTGCCCCTTTTCACAATCTTTCTCAGCACCGTTGTTAAGTGAATCACTGCGGTCATTAAGCAAATCTGGCTGAACCCGGTTAACTTCGCCTGTTGGAAGGCGATCTCGGGACACTCCAGCCCGTCGTAAACCCGGTTAACTTCACCTGATCCCGGGACACTCCAGCCCGTCGTAAATGTGAGTCGGTTTCCAAGAATTTTGATCACATGACCAAAGGAGGCTGCCATGGTCGTAAGTGTGAAATACGCATCAGAAATAATATTCCGGTAGCTTCCAACCATCACTAAATGAACCACTGTAAGTCAAGGACGACCTGTGGCAGGAGCTTGGAAGCAGCGTCCAGTGGAGGTCAGGAACGGAGTGTAAACATTCTGGGAGATAAATTCAGGTAGTCCTTGACTTACGATGATTCATTTAGTGACCGTTTCAAAGTTACAACGGTACAGAAAAAGGGAGACTTACGACTATTTTTTCACATTTATGACCATTGCAGCATCACATGATTGACATCCGGATGCTTTGAAAACCGGTTCGCATTTATGACAGTCGTTGTGTTCTCGGGATGACGTGATTCCCCTTTTACGGTCAATGCGGGGGGGGGGGGGGGGCGAAGCTGGACTCACTTAACAACCACGGGGCTCATTGGACGACCGCAACGATTCAAGCGGCAAGAAAAAAAAAGCTATAAAATGGGACAAAACTCTCTTTAAAAAATCATTTCTCACTTAGCGTCATACATTCCCCAGGCTCAATTCTGGTCATTAAGTTGAGGTCTACCTGTATAGGCCCATCATTCCCCCCCCCAAAATTAAAATAATTAAAATTAAAATAAATGGGGGGGAAAAAATTCACAAGGCAGTTTGTGATCCTTTTTTCCGTTTCTATGGGTGTGTGTTGTGTGTAGGCGAATTCTTTAGAGATGAGTCCGTGTGCGTGCGTGCGTGTGTGTGTCTGTGTGTGTGTGCGCGCGTGTGTACTACGCATTTCCTTCCGGAATTCCTTTCTTTGAATGAACTTTCCTTCCGGCTCGGCTGCCCTGCCAGACGGGTGACGGAAAGGGTAGAATCGTAGGAGGCGAAAGAGGGGAGGTTGAAGGTTCCCCAGAGACCATCTAGTCTGACCCATGCCAGGGCAGGAATCCAAGGGGAGAGCGGCCTGTCCAAGCTTCTCTTTCCATCCTTCTGGCAAGGAGAGCCAGCTCCCTCCCTCCCGACGGATCTTCTTCCCGAGATCTACTTCCAGGGGTCATGGAAATCCCTCCATTTTGGCTCTGAGTTGACTTCCTCCTTTTTTTGCACGTCCTTGAATGGAGCCTCCCTCCCTCCCTGCCTCCCTCGCTCACAGGGGCCCTGGAGGCTGCTGCTGCTACCGTAAAGGCAGGTATTCCTCTGCTTACCAGCAAATTGAGCGCCGATTTTCTGTTGCTAAGCGAGACAGTTGTTTTGCTCCAAGCATGGTCTTCCTCCTCCCCGCAAATCCCCCTCCCTTCTAGCACTGATGGTGTTCCCTAGTTGGGCCCTGAAACGTCTGCAAGAAAAACAACAACTTCAGGTAGCACCAAGGAGCCCATAGTCCTCCTCCTCCTCTCCTTCTTCTCTTCCTCCTCCTCCTCTCCTTCTCCTCCTCCTCTCCTTCTTCTCTTCCTCCTCCTCTCCTCCTCTTCCTCCTCTCCTTCTTCTCTTCCTCCTCCTCCTCTCCTTCTTCTCTTCCTCCTCTCCTTCTCTTCCTCCGCTCCTTCTTCTCTTCCTCCTCCTCTTTCTCTCCTTCTTCTCTTCCTCATCCTTTTGTTCCTCCTCCTCCTCCTCCACTTTCTTTTCCTCCTCCTCTTCTCCTCCTCCTCCTTTCTCCCCCTCCCCCTCTCCTTCTTTTCTACCTCTTCCTCCTCCTCTCCTCCTCCTCCTTCTGTTCTCCTCCTCTTCTCCTTTTCCTCCTCCTCCTGCAAAACCTCCCCACTTCCAACCTTGATGATGTTCCCTAGCTGGGTCCTGAAACGTCTGCAAGAAAACCGCCGAGCTCAGAGACACCCCACCCCCAGCACCCCCCCTTCCTCCTCCTCCTCCTCCACTCCGCACACCCCACTCCCCTGGTGATGTTCCCTCGCGGGGTCCCGAAACGCCTGCCAGAAACCCTCCCCCTCCTCCAGATTCAGAGTGACCCCCGCCAGGATCCCTCGGCCTCCGCCGGTGAGCTGCCCGGGATCCTCTCCCCCTGGAGATCTTCTCCTCCGCTGGTTCCAAAGCGCGGACCCGCCTCTCGGAGGCCAGGAAGTGCGGCGGGGTTGTGCAAACTCCAGAAGGCGGGGCGGTTGCGGCGGCCAGGCAAGGAGAGCCGGGCCGGGGGGGGGGGGGGGTGCTTGCACACACACACACACACACACACGAGAGAGACACACGAACACGCGTTCCCGGCAGCTTCCCCGGAGATCGCGCATTCTTCAGGCCGAATCCGCCGCGACCCGTTGGCGGGAGCGCATCGCTGCTACCCAGGCAAGTTCCCCCCCCCCCGCCACTTCCCCGGGAAGGAGGGGAGGGCGGGGAGAAACCCCCTCCCCACCTCCCCGCCGTCCCCTCCCCGCCCCCCCCACCGCCCCGGGCTGTGGACGATGGGCTTTAGAGTCTTGCTTTGTCCGCGCGGACTTCCCAAAATGCCAGCTTGGCGCAACCGGTGGCGGCGGCATCAGCGGAGATCGCAGCCGCCGCCCCCGCAACGCCCCCCCATCCTATACCCGCGGAGTGGGCGGGGCGGAGGGTGGGGGGGGGGGGAGAGGGGGGGGGGGGGGCGGGTCCGGGGCGGCCCCCCCCCCCCCCCCACCCGCCGGGGGGGGGGGGGGGGGGGGGGGGGGCGGAGCCGGAGCCGGGGAAGTGGGGCAATTCCCGAAGGCGGCCGAGGCTCCGCTCGCTCGCTCGGTCGCTGTGGCTGGCTGGCCGGCCGGGCGATCGGCGTTTCCCGGGGAAGGGGAGGAGGGAGGAAGCCCACCTCGTCGCGGGTGGTGCTTTTTCCTACCGGCTGGTAGAGGCGACTTCGGCGGCTGGTTGGCGCGATTGATTGGGCGGGTTGGCTGGGAGGACTACAACGCCCATCGTCCACAGTGGGTGGGTGGGTGGGTGGGGTGGGCTCGCCCGTCGGCCACAACGCCCACGGGAGGAGGAGCATCATCATCATCATCATCCTAGCTCCGGCTGGGAAGGGACCTCCGAGATCCTCTAGTCGGACCCCCAACCCGTCCGGCTCCAGCCTGCGCTGACCGGCCGTTCCTGGCCGATTCTTTCTCCCCTTCTCCACTCTTTTCAAGCCCGGGGATCGAGGAGCCGGCGGGTTGGCTGGGGGACTACAACGCCCATCGCCCACAGCCGGCGGTGAGTGGGTGGGCTCGCCCGTCGTCCACCACAACCGCACGTGGGGGCTGCTGCTGAAAGCTGGCGTACCCGCGGGAAGGAGCAACATCCTCCTAGCCCCGGCTGGGAAGGGACCTCCGAGATCCTCTAGTCGGACCCCCCGACCCCCCCCCCCAACCGCCGCGCCCTGCTCCAGCCTGCGCTGACCGGCCGTTCCTCCCCGCTTCTCTCGCCCCTCTCCAAGCCCGGAGATGCCGCCGAAGGAGCCTTCGCCTTGATGCGTCCGACGCTCCCGGAGACAGCTCCGCCAGGTAAGAAAAGGAAAGGTGCGCGGTGGTGGCGGCGGCTGCGGACGATGGGAGACGGCGGGGGCTGGCGGTCCGGTTGGGCAAAGCTTCCCGTGGGGGGGGGGGGGGGGGGGGCTCGGGAAAGGTGGCTTGTGGCTAATCTGGTTTAATAGGCTCTGCGTGGTTTTATAGGGAAGAGTTCTCCAAGCTTGGTCGCTTTAAGACGGGTGGACTTCAACTCCCAGAATTCCCCAGCCAGCTTTGAAATCCACCCGTCTTAAAGCGACCAACCTTGGCCACCCCCTGCTTTGGGGTCTTTTCAGATGAAACCAGATGGAACTTATTGTGTGAAAAAGGCTAAGTTGGAGTTACCGAGTCAGGACAGAGCCACTTGTGCCCCTTCCAACCTTTTCTTTACCCTTTGACCTCTTCCCCTGGTCAACCTTGCAGGGACGTTGTGCGCGCGCGCCTAAGGGAAGGATTTTGTGCCTTGCTTGGGGATCTCTGGGAGAAGCCGAATGTAGAACCAGGGAAGAGTCACCGTGTCTTCAGGGTTTGGAGCCTCTGGGGTTAAGGAAGGTGGGTTCAACGTCCCCTTCCGATGCCCCCCCTCTCCCCTTGTTTCTGCCCCTCCCCCCCTTTAAAACTCCAGTGTTGGACCAAGCGGTTGTGTGAGTGCCTTGATGCGGTCTTCAAGTGAGCTCAGTAGGAGGGGAGGGGTCTCCTTAGAGATGGAGGTTTTTTTTTTTTCCAGCCCTGGGGATTTGGGGTGTCCTTGCTGAAGGATTTCCACCTGGGCTGGCTTGGCTTTGCTTCTGGGCTGGGGACGAGTGGGAGTGAGTGGGTGGGAGGCTGCTGGCTGCTACTGGGGGGGACCCTCGTGTTGCTATTGGGGTTGGGTTAAGGGTCTTTCCCTTTGCGCCTTTCGGGGGTCTCTTTAGGGTTCAGTCCTGTATCAATCTGTGTTTTATTTTTAATTTTTTAAAATTTAATTTAATTTATATATGTGTGTGTGTGTGTGTGTATGTCTGTGTGTGATATAATATACTATAATGTAATATACATGGGTGTATACATAATTTTGTATTTATTTGTTCATCCATTCATTCATTAATTCTGCCATGGTTATGATGTATTTATTGCTTATTGTACCCTTTGACTACCATTAAGTGTTGTACCTGATGATTCTTGACTCTTGACAAATGAATCTTTTCTTTTATGTATACTGAGAGCATTTGCACCAAGATAAATTCCTTGTGTGTCCAATCACACTTGGCCAATAAAAGAATCCTATTATGTTCTATTCTATTCTATTCTGTTCTGTTCTCTCATTCTATTCTATTCCATTCTATTCCATTCCATTATTCATAATTCTATTCTATTCCATTCCATTCTATTCCATTCCATTATTCATTATTCTATTCTATATTCCAATATCCTATTTGACTGTTTCCTAGTATGATTCGATGGCTTATTGTACCCTCTGACTATCATTAAGTGTTCTACCTGATGATTCTTGATGAATGTATCTCTTCTTTTATGTACACTGAGAGCATTTGCACCAAGATAAATTCCTTGTGTGTCCAGTCACACTTGGCCAATAAAAAGAATTCTGTTCTATTCTATATAGTGTATATTGGGGGTGATGAGCCTTTGAGAGCTGTATACAATGAAATTTTATTTTAATGTATGCTGATCGGTGTACATTCAAAGTGACAATAAAGTTATTATTCTATTCTGCTTTATTTTATTTTATTACTTAGTTTATTTTTAATCTTATTTTATGTTTTTATTTTCAATTTTTATTTTATTTTACTTTTTATTTTATTTAGTTTGCTTTTTAAAAAAAAACATCTTATTTTTTATTTACTGTGTTTGTATCCTGCCTTTATTCTTTTTACAAATAACTCAAAGCAGCGAACATAACCAACACACCTTCTTCCTCCTGTTTTCCCACCACAACAACCCTGTGAGGAAGGTTGGGCTGAGAGAGGGAGGGATTGGCCCAAAGTCACCCAGCTGGCTTTCATGCCTAAGGTGGGACTAGAACTCCCCATCTCCCAGTGGTTGGCCCAAAGTTCTGTTCTGTCCTGTCCTATTCTTTTCTATTTCTATTCTTATTCTCTTCTCTTCTCTTTTATTCTAATTCTATTCTATATTCTTATTCTCTTCTCTTCTATTCTAATTCTAATAATTCTTATTCTATTCTATTCTATTCTATTCTATTCTATTCTATTCTATATTATCTTCTCTTCTCTTCTCCTCTTTTATTCTATTCTAATTCTATTCCTATTCTATTCTATTTTCTATTCTATTCTATTCTTCATCCAATATCTATTCTATTCTAATTCCTATTCCCATTCCCATTTCATATTAATTTTATTGAAACAAAATTAACTCTGGGTGGCTTATAGCGTAATTAACACTCGAAGAAAACATTCAAATTGTCGAATGTAGAATGACAGAGCAGACCAAATAAAAGCATTAAGGCAAGATGGGGGAAAGGAGGCAGCCGGATACATGGCGAGGGGTTGAGGGAGAGAAAGGGGTGGGATTAGTTTTTAGTTTTATTTGCAGGTCAGGCCTGCAGGCAGGGGCCGTTTCCCTTCCTTTCTCCACAGGCAGTCCTTGACTTTTGACCACCATGGAGCCCAAAACATCTGTTGCTAACTGAAGCCTTCGTTAAGTGAGTTCTGCTCCATTTTACGCACCGTTACTAAGCGAATCCTTGCAGTTGTTGAGTTGGTAACACAGTTGTTCAGTGAATCTGGCTTCAATAACCCGTCTTGTTGGCATCATTATTATTTCTCTGTTGCTTTGCATTTTAGAGCTGCTGCACCGGAGACAAATTCCTTCTGTGTCTAAACACACTTGGCCAAATAAAGTAATCTCGATCAATCAGAACAGAGCTGGAAGGGACCTTGGAGGTCTCCTAGTCCAACCCCTGCTCAGACTGGAGACCCTGTACCATTTCAGACAAATGGCTGTCTGGTTTCTTTTTGAAAGCCTCCAAGTGATGGAGCACCCACAACGTCTTGTGGCAAGCAGTTCCACTGGTTAATTGTCCTCACTGTTAGGAATTGTCCTCACTATTTCTCCTTAATTCCAGGTTGCTTCTCTCCTGGGTTAGTTTCCATCCGTAGCTGCTTGTCCTGCCTTCTGGTGCTTTGGAGAATAATTTGACCCCCTCCTCTTCTTTGGGGCAGACCCTCAAATATGGGAACGCTGCTGTCATGTCCCCTCTTAATCCTTCTTTTCTCTAGACCGGCCAAACCCAAATCCTGCAAGCATCCTTCATATGTTTTAGCCTTCAGTCCTCTAACTCATCTTAGTTGCTCTTCTCTGCACTTTTCCCAAAGTCTCAACCTCTTTTCTGTAATGTGACACAACTGTATGCAGTATTCTAGGTGTGGTTTTACTAAGACTTTATAAAGCAGTACTCATACGTCACATGATTTTGAGTCTATGCCTCTGTTTATACTATCTAGACTGTATCCTATTCTTGTTCTGTTCTGTTCTGTTCTATTTTCTGTTTTCTGTTCTATTTTCTATTCTATTCTGTTCTGTTTTCTGTTCTATTTTCTATTCTATTCTGTTCTATTTTTTATTTTCTGTTCTGTTCTATTTTCTATTTTCTTTTCTGTTCTATTTT